CTAGCGTCACTCAAAATGATATCAGTCATTTTGAGTGCTAAATCCACGCACGGGAGCGTCACTCCATTTTAACCTCGTCTAGAGGTTTTTCATCTGATGTTTTTTACAGGCCATTCATGAACAGGTGTGGACATTTTTTCATATGAAGGATCGAGCTGCTTCAAAAAAAATTCAATGAAGGGGAATATATTTTATTTACATTATAATTTTTATTCGGAAAATTGAATTTAATCTAAATTTATTATTAACGACAAATTTGTTCGTGTTTTTTTTTCATTAAATACTAAGTTCATTCCAAGTTGCTTTTGGTTTCATTGACCTTTAGTGCAACCTCCTGATCGGATTCATCTAAAATTGTATCCGAATCATTTTCATTCTCCGCTGGTACTTCTACTTCAAATGTTGGAGCAACATTACGGAAACGATCATCAATACCTATTGTATTATATTCTTTAACTCCATTTTCACTGACCGGAACAAAATGTTCGCCAATTTGAACTAAAAACAACGTCCGATTGAAATTTGATCGGAATCGTTTATTAGGATGTAGTGGCTGCCAAAAGTGCCTTGTGTATCCAATCATGCCTTCTTGAGGCTCCCACAATGATTTTTTCCACGATGAGCGTCCGCCATTCATTCGCATGCATTCGTTTGGCCATAGTACATCGATTCTACGCCCTAAATCTAAACAGTCATAAATTTCCAATGTTGATACAATGATAACTTTGCGATTAAGCGGAATCTTAGGAGGACTTGGCAAGATTGATGAATTATTAGAAGAAGCCATACAACTCAATGATGCATTGGAATATTTTGGAACTGTGTCCAATAGTGTGGCGGATGTTTGAGTAGTTGATGGTAGTGATATCGATGTGCTAAGTAAAATTCCTTTTGTTTCAGGCATGGTGACATCAAATGCATCGTTATCATGGCTAGATTGACGTTCTTCTGACTTTGATTTTCGCTCTGATATGATAAGTGTACGATTTGTATTACGTGTGCTTAAATTACCCGAAGAAAATGAGCTATTTGGTCGATACGCTCTTGAACTTGTTGGATTTGGAGATGATGAAGCCGTTAACATTGAAGTTTCTGGGCTAATATGCGACTTATTGCCCGATATTGACGTATCCATTTCTTTACTATCAATTATATCTATTGGACTGCTGCTTGGAAATGTAGCTCGACGATCTTGCTCTGTTTTTGTAATCACAGAGGCTCGTTTTCTATACACACCCATTCCCGAGCGATCTGAGTTTATACTCTCCCGTTCTTGTTCTCGTTCACGATTCAGAAATCCAGCAAGTAACGTAGAATTATTTGGCTTGCCCATACTTGCCACACTACCACGCGTTCCGGCACCTGAGAGACTCTGGCTGCCATAAGATAAAGTGCCAGTCGTAGCCGAAATGGTGTTATTTGGTGTGTTGCTCGGAGCATAATAGACACCAATATCACCCACCTCGGTATCTAGAGTGGCTGAACCACTAGAGCAACCCTCGCTGAATCTCTGGCGCACATGTTGGCAAAATCTCCATGCGATATTTTTTATTTTGTCCAAAGTTATCGCTCCACCGACAATTTTGCACAGCTGTTCATTCGTTTCCGCGTACGATGGTAACAAGGGTGATACCTGTCGAATGAAAAAAAAAAAATTATTTTGGTTCATCAATTCACAAAAATAAAAGTCAACAATCATAATATGTATAGTGTTTTGCGTACATAAATTGGATAGCCAAGTGGAAGATCACAAGAGGAGTTGATAATATTTCGTAGGGCTTGTTTTGCATTTTGAATGCTTCCTCGTTCTGGATTTCGATTGCGTAAATAAATTAACTCTTGTTGTTGGCCTGCCCACAATCCTCTAACACATTCCCGATTCAATTTTATTACGCGAAAGCTTAAATACCGTTTGCTGAGACGAATCAAACGGTATTCATCGGAACCCTCCTCCAAAATGTGTCTTAATGCAAGCAATTGGGGTGCTCCCCGTAAAACAGCATTCCTCCAAAGTGGATCTGCCTCGTGTGAAATTACCAATTCATTGGTATGCGTTGTAATTGCATTGTAAAGTGCAGCGGGATCCTCATATTCTTCTGGGCTTAAGAAGTGGTCTTGATGCAATTTTAAAGACATTTTCACCGCAGGTGCAACGACTGTATGCAAGAGGTCCATATCGAGGAAGATCCACTCGTCTCTGATTGATGTTATGCGATAGTCTCCTTTAAATAAGGCGTGTAATCCGTGTAAAAAGAATTCGACACCAGATAATGAACTATGTGTGTGCGTCGCTGTTGCTAATGTTCGTCGCGCTAACAGACTTAATGCCAACAGCAAGGAAATTAGAGTTGATTTCTGAGTCTGGAATGAAAGATTATGTTTTTTACAGGCGTTTCAATGGTTTTGTATAATTTTTTTTTCTTACAATATCGGTTGGTTGTGCTTGTGGGTTGTTGTCATTATTTTTATCAGATTTCGATATGCGTGGTGATGGTGTTTGATTATTAGATGATTTTGGAGATCCACCGGTTGTTTCACTTGTTGATATTCCACTAAGATTCTCCGTTTGACTTCTATGAAAACTTTGTGACTGGCCCCTTGATTTTTGTTGCTCTTCCTGTGATCTTGAATGCTTTGATTTATGCACTTCAATACGCTTTTCGTAGCAAAATTGGATCCAATCAAAATAAACTGAACAAAATGAAGACCTCGTGATTCCTGACGCACGAAAATCAAAATCTTCGTCCAAATTGTGGTTGAATATAGGATCCAAGTCAACAAATGACCTATCCTGCGTTCCTTGTAGTGCTTCTTCAATTGCTTGCGAAGCTAACCAACTGTGAAGCTTTGGTGATCGAATGGTGTAATAGATGATGCACTGAAACATGAAAGAATATATGAAGAAATTCCTCTAAATATGGCTTGTTATACTAATAATACATGATGAGAACTGCTTACTTTTATATAGTAAGTGATGAGAACTTTGCGAAACTCGTAAACTTGTATTTGGAAGCAAATAGAATAAAAAATTAATTATAATTATTAATATTAATGATTACACACGAACAAATGAACACATCTTTGTACAGCAGTATCTTACCTTGTAGTGTGGCCTGTGCTAAGTTATCTGAGATTGAGTAACCTTCCAGTATGTATTGAGAGGCAACCACCTGCCAAGCCAGCCATCTCGTAGAAAACATTGCATTTATGCTTAAACAATTTGGTAAATGACCCGGAGAACAACAACAGCATCCATCATTTTCTCCAACACCTTAAATAAAACGTTACTCTGACTTGACAAACTTTCACCTCAAAGTGGAATACATACCTTCTGAAATTGCTTCAACTTCACGCTGTTGACAATAAGTGCCCCGAAATTCCAATCCTCTCATTTGAAATGTGCATAAACCGTTTCCTAACTCGATTATATGAACTAAACAGTTTAAATAGTCGGACGCCAACACTGTTGATTCAGAAAAATTAAATTGTCAGATTAATATTTGCATTCAAAAAAAATCGTTCATAAACATACCAAAGCAATCGCCTTGACTAACATTTCCCCATCGACCCAACAATAAGTCACCACATAACGAGTGCTGTAAAGATCGAGTTAAATGCTCGTAGAAAATGCTGTTTAAATTGTTATCGTCAGCTCCAAGATCGCGCTCCAAATGTGAACTTAACCGAGTATTACTATGATCGATTCGTCTTGTGTTATAATCACGCTCCCAAAATTTAATAGGCCTTGAAGTAAAGCATTGTTCATTGAATAATTTATGAATTATAATATGTAAAAAGTTTTTCAACATTACATGAAATGTAAACTTCGTTTTTTTTTTCATTTAAATATTTTATGTGACAAACTAGAGTATGGCTATAATATAATATCTTTACCAATATCAACAAATTGGCTCGATGACATAACTCCCCGCGCAAAGTGACTAACGAAAGAGTTAGCTCAAACGGTAAACGGTAATCACCCGCCCACCGCTGACTGTTCGTTCAATAACCGCTTGTGCCTAAGTAAACGGTTGCACAAACCGTTCGCCCATACACTCATTCGCCAATTATCCGTTTAAAATCCGGTAGCAATTATTTGAACGGTTGTGTTTGCCGTCGTCTGAAGCTATGGCGCTAGTTATGCAACATCATTCGGACTAGCACAGGACGGTGTGACCGCTTGATAAAATCAGAACGGGCGGACGGCAAACGGGTGCGGGGAGTTATGTCATCAAGCCAACAAATTATAGTTTTGATGAAACTTGAAAATTTTATTTCGGATGACGTGGTATGGTGTAGTGGTACATTTCATGCATATTTTGTCCTACAATAACAAACTAATTGAGTCTGAGTCTAAAGTGACTCTACTTTTTTGTTTATACTAAAGTTTAAAGAGGAAAAGGACATATTCAACCTACCTTGTATAAGACGTTAGAAATATTGCACTGCCCAAAAACGGAATTAATGGAGCGGACAAAAGTGAACTAATCACAGCTTGAAGAAACAACATTGCTGAGTGTGGTACGCTGAAAGGTTGAGCAAAAGCGTGGAAAGCAGATCCCCAGGTGATTTGCCATGGAGCAATATATGTGACAATAAATTGTAGCTGTGAAAACGGCAAAAAGAAGGGAGAATTTAGTGTTTTGTTGTGAAATCGAGTGAAACCTTCGGGTGTAAAATACCTTTAGAAGAAATTCGCATGTTTTCTTGTACACGATAGAAACAACAAAGTAGTCAATCAAAAATGTTTCACTTGCCGCCTTGTAGTCTTTCCCAAAAAACAGCACGGTAAATAAAATGATAATGTATTGACTTGATGGATCAGAGTATGAACTACGGATGCCTAAATTATTTAAAATTTAAAGAAAAAAAAACAACGAAAAATTGGTTATTGCTATTCGAAAGTAGATGAATTGGAAATTAATGTACTAACTTTTAAGTCCACATAAAACGACAATGGCCGACCCAATTGGAATGCCGAATTTTTGTGAAATTAGCACTGAGTCCGATGTAAGCGCACTTATGAATATCAACGGTAGTAGAATGTTCTTCTCCACAAATGATAAATACACGAATAATGTTTCGAACCACATTATTTTAGCTGCTTCGCTCGTCTCGTACATGCCGTACTCTTTCTGCTTCAAAATTGGTTTGGCAAAGCATAGCCAGGGTAAATACTTTCGCATTTGCGGTATGAGGTAATGAAGAAGGAATCCAAGAACAATTACGAATGACCTAAAATAATAATTTTTAAAAAAATGTTTTTAAAAAACATTCCAGCTATCAATACAAATTAATCCAAATATAATCATTTACCGAAGAACTGGATTCAATTCGGGCTGAAGAGCTGTGAAAACAGTGCTGCTATGTAAACTCAAGACAATCGTCCCAATCACTGTACACATTAAAAAATCGTTTTTGAGTCTTGCGTTTACAGTGTTTTTGAGTTTACTTGGCAATGGATCGTCTAATTCTTCTTTTTCCAAAACTCCTTCACCTTCGGCTGTCAGAATAACTTTTTGTTCTGACATATTTCCCGAATCGATGGCAACTGATTCGTTAGAATCTTTTTGTGCATCACTACTATCGAATTGTATATTACTTGAACCGGTCTGATTACCTTCGGTTTGACGTTCTTTATCATTAATACTGATCTTAGTTTTGATATTACTTTCATTTTTCTTCTTGACTGGCTTGTTTTTCTCGAACTTGCTTAGTTTGGTAGCTCTTCTCAGTTCTTCATCTTCGTCATGGTTAATTATGAAACTGGATTGGATTATTGCCCATAGATACGTGAAATCACTCGCACTACCTATAACATATACAATAAATCTAAATAAATAAATAAATCTAAAAATCTAATAAATCTAAATAAATTAATCTATACGCAAATTACGCACTACGAGACAAATGATATGCACTCGCTACAAGCAATGCGCAGAAACACGAAAATAGGACGTGTTGCGTTGATCGTGGTTCCGATAAACCACCAAGAGCGAATCCATACAGCATGCAACAAGCCATGATTGATTTGAAAATCCCAAAGAATGCAGATATCAAGCTACAAACAGCATTCCCACCAAACAAATGCATATCGAACTGTTCCAAAGCGTACATTAAGAATGTATTGACTTGTGCAAATAAACCAAGACTGAAGAGTACTGGAAACAACAACAGAATAATTGACATGATTTCTTGGATGGAGTAGAAAAATCCGCGTGTGGAAAATGGGATTCCGAACAATGTCAGCTGATTTTCATCTTTTGGAAATGTAGAAAAATGGTGTGACAGTATCAATATTGAAGTGCACAAGCAAAAATAAATTGGTCTGGAATAACGGGCATCATCTCCATGCGTACTCGAAGAGGCATCTGGTTGCACGCTTTTCAACAGGCTATACTGGGCACCTGCCATAACAAAGCAGAAGATGAATGCAAAAATATCCCTGTAAAAGTCCAACTGAAGTACAACTGCTCCCAGTATTGAACAACAAATTCCGACTAAAATCGAAGCGGTTGCCTGACAAGTTCCACAATCACGATCAAAAAGTGCCAATAGCTGCAATCGATCCATGGATATTTTTATCTCGCGTTTTAGGCATTTTATGGGAAACTTGTAATATCGCTTGGGCTGTACTTTTTTGTCTATCGGCAAATTACAATGGCCCCAAAACATTGAGTCTGCAAATGTCATTCGATTTATCGTCGATCGCTGGGTTGATTGAGCGCCAAGCGTTTGATTTTCAGCGAGTTCAGGAAAGAACAATGTACTAAGCCGCTCCGAAATTTTCATATCAAATCCCATACTTCCACCGCCAGTAGCACCAGTCATAGACATTGAATCGTCTTCATCGCGACTGCTTGCTGTTGTATCAATAGATGAATTTTGCATACGGTTACGTGTAGATCGAATTTTTGGATGGTATTGACGTTGTTGATGAAGATATAAATATGGTTTCCTAGAAACTGGAAAAATATTATCCTGACGAGTATTATTATTGTATATGGGCAACAGTTCGCCACGTTGAGCTACTAAATATGGATTGTTTGGAGATGCACTCTGCAAAACCCATCCATCTTCGGTTTGTTGCATAACCTGGAGAACATTTTTATTTAATGAATTTGAAGAGTTATAGCTACCGCCACTAAGCGAATTGGCAGAGGAAGCATGACTCAGAGACTTTGTATTAGTTCCACAGTTATGATCGTGACCTTCATGTTGATTTGTCTTCATTCCATTTTTTGTCTCTTCATTCATTTCATATCGTGAAAAACTAGTTTTTGGTATTGCACCTAAACTTTTTGACGTGTCTTTAGCCAGTTTTTGATCTTGCGGTTCTGCACTTGTTGTAGCTTCTTTGGTTGCACTCGATGCATTTTCGGTTAAATCAACAGAAATTGTGTTTGCATCCATGTTGAAATCATGCCAATTCCTCTCTGACGATTTCGATTTCTTCGACAGCAGCATATCCTTCGAACTCGCACTAGCTTGCTCACAATCGCTTGACGGACAACCAGAATCTTCGCTTTTCGGTACAATTATCGATGCTGAATTCACACCACCCACTGCACCTTCCTCTGCATCATATGCATCCTCTACACCATCTGTATTTGCTGTTGTACCATCTGTTTTTGGTTCATTCTCGTTGTCATTAGTCTTTGTATCACATTCGTTTTTCGGAGAATTCGATCTGAAGATTGAAGTTCTCGCTCTTGTCTCAAGTAACGGAGACTGTGACCCATTATTCATTTCATTTTCTGAATCGGTTGAATGTGTTCTGGGTCGGTCTATTTCCAATTCACTAGAGTGTTTTTTCACTGAATTTGAGCTATCATTATCTGGTGTCGTTCTTTGGCGCCTTCTCTCTGTAAAAGACATTGATTTTGTCTTCGATGAAAGTTTGTGCATAGAGCTCAATTGGTGCTGAACTGTAACGGCAAAGTTATTGTCATTATCGTCATCATCTTCATCGTCGTTGTCATTGTCGTCTTCGTCATTAGATCCTGAAAGTGCGTCGTCATCACTTTCCGATGTTAAAACAAAGCTTTCATTTAAGCTTTTTTCATCGACAATTTCAGCGATCGGATACACAGGTTCAATACTTCCGCTTGTTCCTTTGGGGAAAAAATTCAAATGCTGATTCCTAACAAGAGATTTACTCGGAGGAGGCAAAATGGCGTGTGGTGGATTCCGTAAAGGACGACCATTAATGGTTTCTACGCTGTTTGGATGAGGCGACAGATTCGAATATGACGGCTGTGGGCAGCATTTTTCCAGAGCTGTACTTTTTATTCTTCGCACAGAAACCATTCCTGATGTCAGTGGTTGTTGCTGTGTTTTTGCAGTATTGGAATATCGACGTTGCCGTGTTGTCGATGACGTTGATGCGCCCGAATTTGTGGGCAATTGAATAGCTGACATTGTTGACGTTGAGTCTTTTCGCATCGGAGCCTTTTTAGATCCGCTAACAAATCGCTCGATAGCTAGCTCAGATTTTGTCGTAAAATGTGGCTCTAAATACATTTCAGGCGTTAGCGATGGCAAGTGATTGGGATGATAGAAACCGCTACCATGATGTTGTTGTCTATGTAAGTGGTTCGATGATACAGGCCTGCGTACGGGAAAATTGTTCATATCCGGTCCACTGGAGTCAAGCGATGTTTGTCTTTGCAATTTGCTTCGCATTCGCTTTTTACTATCACTTATTCGTTGCAAACCACCACCATCAGTGTCAACAAATTTATCTCGTCTTTCTTCTGATCGAGATAACAAGTCTCCCTCATCTACCAATCGAAGCTCCTTTGTTGCATCCGCGGCCGTCATTGTGGACGTATCTTCTGATTTGGACTTTGTCTTCATTATTATAGATCTTCGATCAACGTGTTGCGCTGCCACCCCATTTCCATGATTAGATGGAACTTCTGTTAAACTATCTGACGATTCTGAACTGTTTTTCCGATGAACGTCTACTTTCAAGTCTGAAAATGTATCAAACACTTGTTATTGACTATTTAACCAAGGGAATATCGTTATTTAGGAATAGAAAAAATGCTATTTTCTCACCAATTGTGCTGGTATTTTGTTCCGCTGGGTAATCGATTGAAATCACACTGTTTGCTTGACTAATTTCATTGCTGTTATTATTGTTGTTTTCAATTGATGTCCTCGATGTTGGATCAACCATACTATTCGGAGCCAATATTTGCATTTCGATTCCTCCATCATCGGTGCTGGATAAAATTATCAAACAAATCTTAATATTTTTTGTAAAGGCCGTCACAATTTGAAACCTTACCCAGATGTTTCTTGCGGTACTTTTACAGGTTTTTTTGAATTATTTTCGGATACGATTTGTGCTTGGTCGTACATAACATGTAATATCAAATTGACGAGTTTGACTGCGATTATTGTTGTTGCCGCAGAACAACAATAAACAGTCCATGATGCAACAGTTCTCGAGAAATACTGAGAAAAAAAACAAGGTATGCAATTAATACATAAAGTCGTAGTTCATTTTATATCAATACTGGTCTATATTTGTATTTCATTTCTATGTGTTCAACCTAACCTCATCAGGACACTTTAATGAAAAAGTTCATGTGTAAACAATGTTTTAGTACTCACTTCAAAAACATTTCATTTAATCAAAAAGTAATTGATTGTATTGTACAATCAAACATTCTAAAGGGCGATTATAATCTATTTTGTACAGTTGAATGACTTACTAGGTATGTAACAAACGGCGTACACAACAGAAATAGAAATAAATAGAGGTGAATTGCATTGCAAAAGATATTTTGATGAGGGTCATAGAACCAGCCACCAGTAAAAGATGCCCAAACACCTTGACGAAGTATTTCAATGGTTTGAGACCCCATTTTTCCAGATACATGTCATTGTAATTTGGAAACACTCGCAACTTTTTCTTAAAACCTCACAACAATGGCTTTTTGAGTCGTGAACTATTTAAAATTCACAAGTATAGCATAATGCGTAACACAGTTTCATAAGTTCATTAATTTTTATTCTACTGCACTCATTTAGATTCATTTACAATTGCTATAAACACAGTCAATTGTTTTTTTTCACATTTGTAAATTACTATTTCGCACAAGAACTTTGACCAGCTGATTTCTGGAACTGTTTTTTTTATTTGTCAGCCATTCTTTCAAGATGAATGTACTTGTACATTCGAATGAAAGTAGAAAATGCACAAAACAATACACAAATTAAAAACGTCAAACAGGGTGACCATTCAGATCAGAATTAAATATTTGGAAATGGTTATTTAATCGAATAAACTTATTGAAAATGATTATAGCAAACAAATAAAATATATCATGTTTTTTATAATTTATTTTAAAAGGGAAAAAATAATCAATTTCTATTTATTTTGTTTATGTACGAAGATATAATTATAGCATCGATATTCTCCATTTCTTTCGTTAGCATAGAATGCAAACAAATAAGTATTTCTTGTCATTTTTGTTTTGTTTTGACAGCTGTCACCAATGAACTGCACATGGATTTCAATCCATTGGATTTCAAAAGTCAAAATCTAACCTCAAAACGGCATTTATTGACACCATCAGTGCACGTGCGATTTCATTATTTTATCTGAGTTTTACAAATAATTTGCGAAAATGAGCAAATTTCGTTCGAAATTAAAACGTCATTCGAAAGGAGCAAAATGGGCTCGCGGTCAATCGGCCACATCAAATCCGGAAAATAAAAAGCATCGCAATGCTGCACGATCACGTTTTTTCCAACCAAATCTGAATACAGGTATGTACTATATATGCAAGTCAATTTTAATAGCCAAAAACAATGAAAGAAAACAGTAAGAAAACAATCAAAATTGAATATATTATCGTATATTAAAAAAATCTAGTTGCTAAACCATCAACTACTAATGGAGTAACATCATTGACGGTGGAAGCGGTTTCAAAACACGATGCTCGTCAAATGTATACAGGTGAAAGCAAAACCACCAAGTCAATAGCATCGACAAAATCCGAGCCAACTGTCCATGACATTGCAATGAGCTTGCATTCGTTCAGCATGAGTGATGGGGATGACGATCAATCTTATGCCAGAACATTTCAAACTTTCGGCTCAAGATACAGCTCATGTACCAATATGACTTTCAATAAGTACTTATTTACTAATTTTGATTTACTAAATGGTGCTAATTCAAATCATCTATTTTCTTCATTATTTCTTTGTGGAGGTTTTTAAACCGTTTTCAACAAACCTCGGATCTACACAAGGAAATGCTTGCTATTCTTTCAGCCATCACAGAAGTGATAAAAGAACGCAACGGTACGCAATCCTCAACGGAATTCTTCTTGGGATTGGTAAGTAAGAATACACTACAGTGAACGATAAGAAAAGAGGATAAAATTAAAAAATTGTTCAAATAAATTGATGTTCGAATATTATTTTACCGCATTTTTCAGACTTCGTAGATAGCAATTTATGTACTCTATTTTTTGCAGATGGAAACCCTTGAGGCTACAAAAGAAGAAAAAGATATAATTGCAACTTTATCGTTGCTAACAATGGTGATCAAATCGGTCCCTCAACCAGTTTTACGGAAGAAATTTGCCGATACCGGCGATATATTTCTTCAGTTATTCGAGCAATTTGCAGATAGTGAAAATCAAAATGTGCTTCGAAGTGTAAGTGAAATAAAAATATTTTTATAAAACATTTACAGGCTTCAACCATGCTACATTGCTTTGCATTCAGGCGGCTTCAGATCAAAAGTCTTTTCTAATTCAAAACTCAAAGTGGCGGAACTATTCATAACAGCTATGATAAATTATGAACAAAGAAATTGAATATTCGTTATTTTTTTGATTACAGATAATTGGATGTGTTTCGGTATTATTAAGAGCTCAAGAGTACGCATCGTGGTCAGCTGGTTTGACATTGAAATTGTTCAATCAAGTGTTATCCAATGTTATACATACAAAGCCGAGCATAAGAAAAGCAGCACAACGAGCAATCGAATCAACTATTCATGGTTGCTGCTTTATGATAAATCCAGCTGAAACAAGTCAAGATGAACAAACACACGACCAAGTCCCATTTCATCCTGCTGGCACGTATGTGGCCAAATTTTGTGTGGAACAATTCAAAGTTGAAAACCTGACCAAATCTCAGAATGTTGTCTTGTACGCGATTGAATTGCTGAAAAAAACGATAAGCGGGTTGAAAAATGAAGATATCAAAGACATTTGCGAGTACCTTCTTTCAATCATGGTTACATCGAAAACGAATATTCAAAAGAATTGTTTCGACACTCTGTATCACTTATTTCAGTCAAAGTCGCCAAATTTATCTCAAGATTTAATTGGAAAATTGATAGCAGCAATATACGACTATCGGCCCGAACCAACTGATGTCAATTTAACACTTGCATGGCTAAATGTCATGAAACGCGGTCACATTTGCATGACATCTTTCAATGTCTCAAAATGTTTGATGGAGCTACCAAGGCTGATAACAATTTGTGCCAATGATATTTGGAAGTCAGACAATTTGCAGATTGCGACTGGTGTTTATCATTTGGTGAAAGAATTATTCGAAGAATGTATTGCGCCGGGGCTGGAGACCGATGCCTACATCAATTTGCATCGCAAAGCAATCACTCGAATTATCACCGAACTAGCGAAGTGTTTAAATGAACCTTTTGGTTTTATATCCCAACAAATAATCGGCGTATTTCAAACAATATTTGAAATTTGTGGCCGACATTTTGGTGATATTCTTCAGCCTGCACTGAATCAAATTGCTGCCCGTTACGATGATACTGCTTCAAAACAAATACAAATTGAGAATGTGGTTCGGGCGGCAATTTCTTCAATGGGACCCGAAGCAGCTTTAATCGCTGTACCACTCACCGATGCCAACGGAGATGTGGATATATCACGGTTGTGGGTTTTACAAGCATTGAAAAAAGCAATTAGCGGTTCTACATTTGAGTTTTTCTACTGTAAAATTTTACCACTTGCCAACAAATGTTACGAACAATGGAAATATCATCAAACTGAAGGAAACCTAGCTGCCGCTCGTACAAATGAATTGTTCTACATTCAATTATGGGATCTGTTCCCAAGTTTTTGTGAACAACCAAAAGATTTAAACAAGTTTGGATCGATTGCAAAGATGTTGGGAGATGTGTTGAAAAACCGTGTCGAAATTCGAGATGCTGTATTTGATGGCTTTATGAAATTGCTTCAAAATGCAAACGATGAATCGAAAGTACAGTTAGCACGATTCGCTCGAAACTACTTGAATATTCTGTTGAATATATTCACGAGAAAACCGTCTGGAAGCGAGGAACATACTGCACATACAAATGCATTGAAAATCATCGTTGAATACCTAAAAGTCACACCCAATGATGTGCACACCGAACTATTTAACTCGATTCGGTATGAGTACAAAACGAAAGAGCGTATTGAATCGGTTCTACTAAAAGTGCAAGAGTTGAATAAAACCATCGATCGAAGCGGGGAAAATGATCATCAAATTGGTGCAAATGAAGCAAAAACTATCCAGGACGCCTATGATATGTTGAAAAATATAATACAAGAAAATACAATGGGCGTTGAATATGTGGAAGAAAATACAGATGAAGTTTGTGAACTATTGAAAACTATCCCAATCAAACGTGTAGAACAATTGTTCAGAGGTTCTCAACAGAATATTGGCGTATTTGCATATCAAGCGTATTTTGAATTGCTCATAGCTTTGTCGGTTTACCAATCGTCCGAAAAGCTGAATGAACTATTTGCGGATTACATTGAACCAACCTTACGGAATGCCAAAAAGGGTGGAATCACTCAGTTGATCAAAGAACGCCAAAAAAAATCTTATCAACTTGTACATAATATATTAAAAAGTGAAAATGCTGGCTGTCAAAAGTTTGTGAGCGAAAATCTGCTTCAAATCCAGAAAGTACTTTTAAATACGCTGCAAAATCGGAAACAAAGTTCACAAGACATTCGTTTGAGGTAATTTCCGCATTATTATTTGATAATTTGCAAATATTTTCAATATATTTATTATCTTCATTTAGTTGTTTGCTTCTGTTGATCGAAAAAGAGGAATCACGACTGCAGCATAACAGCAAACTGATATCACGAACCATACCCGAAATTGTTATGTCCTTCAATCACCATGGACAAAATTCAAAAGACAATATCACATTGAAATTACTTTTGAAAATTGGATCTGTCTATAAGGTAACATGGTAGTAGAAATAGTATTCATCAAAAGATTATTTTTGTAACATCTATTCCATTATAGCAAGCAAACAAACTTCAAGATTTTGTGGAAATCTTGATGGCTGGGTTGGATGGCGAAGCTGATGATATGGTCATCTCAAATACAATTCAAGTATTGCAAGCTATACTACAACATTTTACCGCGGAGATAACATTGAATTGCCTGAATTCAATTCTTGAACAAGTGCTGGCACAATTGATCACTGGAAGTCGTCAAAAAGTAAAGGCAGCTGTTGGATTTTTGTTGGTTTTCATAAAGATCCTCCCAGCATCATTTGTCGCCAATCATTTGCCCAATATTGTAAAAGCAATGTCCGCAATGAAACCGGATACAAAACGCTTCTATCGCAAACAACTTGGATTTGCATATAAACAACTCTGTAAACGCTTTACACCAGATGAAATATGTAAATTAGTTCCTGGCAATGATGAAATTACCCATAAGAAGTTGAAAAATATTCGAAAAGCCTTAGCCAGATCAAAAAGACAAAAGACGTCTGAAAGAGATCAATCTGATGATGATGGACTTGGTGATGAAGCGGAAAACGACACGTATGTATTTACAATTAGTTGAATTTTTCTTCATAGAGTCCAATGTAACTGCAATTTAACTGCTATCCGTAATTCGTTTCAGGGACGATATATTGGCAGATTCTGATTCTGATGAAGAACTTCATGAGGATATATTAATGGGTTCGGATGATCAACCGACCGAACGTTTGAAGAAAAAATCATATGGCAAAGAAGAGAAGTACATATATGAAAATTCGGAAAATATTGTCGATTTAGCGGATATAAAAGCAATGAGCAGCATTGCCAGTAAGTATTGAGTTCATTCAAAACTATGGGAATATATACGGAGAAATATGACTTATGAGATCAGTAATAGAATTTTCTACAAAATTGAAACAGAACGATGGCCCAGCGTCAAAAAAAATAATATGAGTTTTTTTTTTGGAGGCGAATAGCATCACTTTGTTTTCATCTTGTTGAAAGGATTTTATATAAATGTTTTGTAATCAAAACCCAAGTTTATTTATATGTATGTATATTACCCACAGCAACGAAACCCATACCCATGAAGAATATTGGAGCAACCGTTGATGTTAAGAAAAATATAAAAGATCCAAATCGTGGATTCAAAGTGGATATCAGTGGAAAGTTGTTAATTGAAGAGCCGAAAAGAGGTGGCAACAAGCACAGCGATACCGATTCTGACAACGATGACATGGATGAAGATAATAAGAAGGAAATTCCATCGAATGATTCGAATAGTGATGATGAAATAGCTGAAAATAGCAAAGCAAAGTCACGGAAACGAAAGGCAAGCAGCAGTCTGAGTCAGGTATCTGGAAAGACTGGAGCTAGCAGCAAATATGTTGCTGGTGGAAAAGGTATTCATCGACCACTAAGTGAAGCAGCTTCAGTACGTTCGGGATACACTAACGTTTCGGGCAGAACCGATGTTAGTAAAAAGTCCACAGCATACGGTAGTGATTATCGTGCCAAGAAATCGAAAGGAGATATGAAAAAGAAAGGCACCTTTGATCCATATGCGTATATCCCACTCAGTCGGAATAGCTTGAACAAACGGAAGCGCGCTAAAAACAACGGGCAATTTAAAAATATTGTGCAAGCAGCTCGGAAGGGTGCCGCAACCGGTTCTAAACGACGTAAAGTTTAATCTTGCTTGTCAGCCAAAAAATCGCTAAGAAAGAAAGTGGGAAAATATTTAAAGACGCGTTGAGAGCTTGGTAGAATACTTGCTGTAATCAAACGTCATATACAATGATAAGAAATAAAATAAATTTTATTTTAAACACATTCTTCTATTATTTTCATCAAAAAAATGCATGTAAAAATTTGTATAAGGTAAGGTATAACAAACCAAACAAAAATTACGGTAATGAACATGAACTTTAACTGAAACTCCTATGTACATACATGTAATGTACATTGTACATTAAAAACAGTTTAGTAACAATCAAGCAACTCGCAAACAATATACATTAAATCACCGTTGCGTTGTTGGAACGTCGCCAAAATTAGGACGAGACAATCATGTATAATTATTGAATGTTGACCTGAGGCATATGGAGTAGGCGATAAGAGTGAGATTTTATGAAAATTTTCTTCTAAAAATATGAACAAATCGTGTGTCTCACCGAGAAAAGTACCAAACCGACTTAAGTGACAAACTGATTAGATAATGATCGTTTTTGTTTATATTTCTTTAAGATAAAAAAAACTTGTCAATAAACGTTACGTTCATACGTTACGCATAGCACACTGTCGCTTTGCTCGCTTGCGTTAGCGTTCCGTTCAACTGATAAATTATCATATTCTTTTGACGTATAAATTGAACCAGTTCGATCGCAGCCGTCACTGTGTACTTTTTTCATCAATCAAAATAATAGTTGAAAATCTGTCATTTCGGCGATTTTTGGAAAGGTTTTACACTATTTTTAGTATAAATTAACTATATAACATTTCCAATTCAGTAAAGTGACATTGCGTAACATTTCAATTTAATTCATTTGTAACCTTGGTTCATTATTATTATTATTATTATTATTATTATTATTATGTTGATAAAAAAATTTACAGTATAAAATGAGCAACCAAACGGATGATAAAAATAAACCATCGCTGGTGAAACAGGCATGTAAGATCATTAATTATTGAAACATAGTCAAAGAACGTGAATGAATTTTGTTGTAAACATTTCATAAAATAAACTTAGATGGTTGAGATTGAGAGCACTGTATGTTTTTTTCGTCTTATATAGCATTGCAAATCGTTGCCGGTGGCTCGGCTGGATTTGTAGAAGTATGTATTCGCATTCGGTTGATTTTTCCTTCATAGGCTCTCCATTCTCCAATGTTTCATTTAACCACTATCCGTAATTCGTTTCAGGTATGTATAATGCACCCACTTGACTTGGTCAAAACTCGATTGCAAATTCAAAATAAAAAGATGGTTCGAAACACAGCATCGTCGGCCAGCACAAATGAGGTAATTACTAAATTTTGAACAAATATCTACTCGAAATAAATTCATTTGGGTACGAATACCGGTTAACTTCCTTATTCTCCAAAAGATTTACTATAAAGGTGTTTTTGACTGTTTTCGAAAAATGTGTCAACACGAAGGATTGTTTTCTATGTATAAAGGAATAATTCCACCAATCATGGCTGAAACGCCGAAACGCGCAACAAAGTTTCTGTGTTTCGAGCAATATAAACGATTTTTCATGTTTGGATCAGATAAAGCAACACCATTGGTATGCTAATTTTTTGGTATCAAGCCGTTTGATGGAAATTTACCAGAAATTCACAAAGCATCTATTTTCAGGCGTATTCTCTAGCTGGTCTAGGTGCAGGAGCAACAGAGGCAATTATGAAAACAATATAAAATTAACAACTGAATAACAATAATAATATTAACAATTATTATTCTTAGGCAATTATTGTCAATCCATTTGAAGTCGTTAAAGTAACGCTTCAAGCAAATCGGGCCAAGTAGACGATCTTATATTTGAATCTTGCAATTGATATTAACACTTAACCGTTTGTCATAGATCGACAGAAGCGCCGACAACTTTCACCGTTGCTCGGCAAATAATCAAACAAGATGGATTTGGCTTGAAAGGTCTCAATAAAGGTCTAACGGCAACAATTGGACGTAATGGAGTTTTCAATATGATTTACTTCGGCTTCTACCACAGCATTAAAGATTATTTTCCAGCTTATGAGGTTTGCCGAATAATATTTTTTTTTCCACTTGAACAGCAAAAAATATCTCAATATCAGACATTATATTATGACAATGGTTATGTAAAATTATTACATACTTTACGAACAAGCTTTCTATTTCTATTTGTTACTATAATACAAAATTACATTAGGACACGACGCATGAATTTTTACGTAAAGTTGGCATAGGTTTCTTATCTGGAACAATTGGTTCGATTTTCAACATTCCCATCGATGTTGCAAAGTCAAGAATTCAAGTAAGTTTTGTTACTAAAGTGACTAACGTAAATTGTCATTTGAAACATAATCATTACATCAAAGTACGAAAGTTATGTGTAGCAAACAATAACAAAATTCAATAGAAGCAATCAGTTGGTTTCGGTTGTGAAATGATAACATCAAACTGTTACTCTTTATAGGGACCACAACCAGTACCAGGACAAATAAAATATCGTACAACTTGTGGATCCATGTTAACAGTAGCACGTGAAGAAGGTTTTGGTGCTTTGTACAAAGGTTTACTGCCCAAAGTCATGCGCCTTGGTCCAGGCGGTGCGATCATGCTACTTGTGTACGAATATTCGTACGAGTACCTCAAGGAGCGTTTTCTTTAGGAAAGAAAATGATTTTGGGACATTTCATTTTAGTACGAATATATGTCTTTTGTGATTTTTGGGTGTTACTGATAAGAAATAATATGTTGATGTCTTCGTCAAAGTTGTAGTGAACCTTCTCAATAAACGCCTCAAACAGATAGTATCTCAGTAATGCTAAGAACGAAAGAAAAAATTAAGAAAATAATGTTTTTTTACGCGATTTTGAATTTGCACGAGATAAGAGATACTCGATTCTGCGTAGAACTCAAAACTGCTATTGTTATTATTATGAGAAAACGTCGAGAAATTTGATCAATGTCTGAACTCAATTTGAAGAAAAAAAATTTATTCACATTTATATACGTATGGAAATATAATTGCGATCCGCGTGGAATTTCAGTTTTTCGAATATTTATTTGCAAAATAACAGAATTAATGGGAGCAACCTGGAATTTCGCTGCGGCTCCTAATTGAATTTCCATGACTGTATGTGTTCACGTTTTTTCTGTTAATGTGTACTGTGTAGCATTTTACAATAAATCAAAATCAATCACATTTATAGTCATGTTTATTTAGTTACTGAACTTAATAAGCAAATCTACAGGTCATTTCAATAAAAAAACGATAACGTTTCTGAAGAAAAAAAATCAAACTAATATTTGAAAATTGTCTACAGTGTGGAATTTTTCACTACAATCCAAAATTTCCAAAAAGCTGTTAATGCAGAGCTGTGTGAAATTGAACATGCGGTAATTTAGAATCAACACGGTTTTTTGTTATGGAATTTTTCAATTGTGCGTCATTCTTCGATTGAACCGCAGATTCATCACTTAGAGATGTAAGAAAGTCACGGAAATTAGGCGAAAGGTTTCTTTGCTACCATTCTCTCGGCACTTGTCACCTTCACAATTATTGCTATACACCGGACTGTGTTGGTAGTCATCATAATGCCTTTCCACGATTAAAGGACCATTAAAGAACTGTGTCGTATGGCGGTCAGATTTTTTCGAAGCCTTTTTTGAAATAAATGTACTATTTTCGATGGAATCTTTCCATTCCATTTCCGTAAAATTGCTTGAAATGGTTGATGTATCCACGTATGAATCATTGAATGAATCTTGAGTTGTTATGATAGAATCAAGTGTGGAGGCAAAAGAAGGAGGAACGGTTTTCACATCAGGTTGTTCTTTACTTAATTCCAAAGCAGCTATTATTTCTTCATTCGATTCCGTAGTGAGTGCTTCGCTTGGCATTCTTTTTTTCGTATGACTAATCATCATTTCATTTTTTGTATTCTTCAGGAACATCGGCAATTGTACAGACGATGAAATGTTGGGGATCGGTAATTGCTTTCGATCTGGATTGTAATTTTCAACCTCTTTGCTACGACTATCGTCATCATCGTCGAGTGCATCAAACTTTTTTGGCTGTGTGGAAATTGAGCTAAGCTTTGCCAGAGTGGCCAAAGGTGATAATTTATGATCATTTGTAGCTCTCGAGTTTGGAGTGTAATAGCGTTTATCACTGAAAACTTTGAACAGTCCTTCGAAAAAATAATTCAACGTTCGTTTTGATCTCATTTTTTCTGATGAATAGGCTATTGATATCAGCAAAAATGAAAATATCAGTATTTTTCCCAAATTCATTTTGCAATAAATTACTTCAACAACCGAACATCACTGAAAACTGTTTATCAAAATACAAACTGTTTATTCAACTAGAAACAAAGCCAGTGAATATTTCGTGTACGACTGAAGACTGGAATCTTATTTCTTGTACTTTTAAATTGAAAGTAACATAATTTACGATTGATTGGTCTTGAGGGAGTGACATTACTTATATTATTATTGCCCTTCTTTCTATTCAATGAACAATATGAGCATGAGTGATTATGATGTATTATTTTTTTTTTAGAAACATTTTTCCCCTTTCTACAGTTTTTTATGTGGTCAAGAAAATGCAAGCGATTTCCTGCTGCTAAATGATGAACACATCATTTTGAATGTGGTCTGATTTCCCATAAAAATTTTCGTCTACCACATTATGTTCTATTTTGTGATTTACAGAAAACAAAGATTGATTGACAATATTTCATTGTTTACAAAATTAATGAAAAAATTATTGATGTCTAATTTATTGTCGGAATATGTCCATAAATTTCCATGTAACCTGTAAATTGATTTGTATATATATACAAATATGCTGGTGGCCTTGACTCTTTCGAAACACGTCGCTCTCAAACTATCCGGCTTTTGATATAAACTCTCGTTTGACAAATTATGTAATAAAGTCGTCATTATCAGCGGAATTTGGTCGATATTTATACGACGTTATTTGAGGTCACTATTGCCAAAATTGCATAACAAAATTCGAAAAAGTTGATGGCTTCATGAAGATAAAATCAGGGCCACTTAAAATTTAACCGTTAATTTAACCACATTCAAATCTACTTTCATTTTCAATGGAAGATAAGATGGTTCGATGGTTCAAATCAGGACACACAATGTTCCTAATTGTTACTATTTCCAAAAAAGTCAACATACTTTGGAAGGTATATTAGAAAATTTATCGAAAATTTCAAAAAGCAAAAGAGTTTGTAGTGCATTTTGAAATCAATTGTTATTTGGTTCACGTAATAATTAGATTATCTATTCCGTTCCGATACAAATTCATAATTTCAACCGGACTTAAACACCAAACTCACAGGAATTTTTTTCGCATTTAAACTTTTAGTAAATGAAACATTTTTATTTTCACCAACAAAAAAAGATATTTTATTGCTTATTCGAACGATCATACTGCTGAACGTATACGCGTCTTAACCCTCTAATGCATTAATTTTTCCCAGGGTTGGGAGTACTGGTACTTGGTTGATTTTCGGCCATAAATAATTAAAAAAATATTCATAATCCTGGATTCCTCTTGGTTTAGTCAGGAAATGCGATTAACATAAATCAGAGAACAATCAAATCCATTGTTTAAAAGTGTCAAAAATGTGTCTAAATTCGAGTTCGAATAATTTATTTTGTCAAATTTTTGTTTTTGCACACATTCTTGTTTATAACTTTACAATCACACTACATAGACAAATATTGCTAAGACAAAAATGAAGAGAAAACATTGACGAATAAAAATTTACTTGAAACAATGTGATCCGATGTACGGTTTACGTTCTACAGGCGTTCAAATGTTGCCCGTCTAGAGGCGGTTGTATGCATTAGAGGGTTAAGTGATTCCGATCACGATGGAATTATATCGTCTAGTGAAAGCATATTATTGTTTCGCACGCGTCCCGTTGTCACATGGAATTTAAATGAGCGCACAAAGCAATCACAAAAAAGATGATCGAATTGAATATCCGTTGAAAAATAACAACCGGTACCTCATCAAGTGTTTTAACACTCACACACCTGCTGAAAACAATCAATGAATATCAAGCATTTATTCAATATTTTGGCGTTCACCGTTAAAAATCCATTTCATTCCATGGTGGCGCCATGTTCATGATACTCGCTTTATAAATATAGGTGTTTTGATTTTGACTGTCTCATTGTAGATTTCGTCGTCGTTGTCGCAGTGTGTCATCACGGTAGCTCAAAATATAGTCGAGATAATTAAATTCGATCAAATTCGAACAAAACGGTTTACGTTTTCATTGGTTTTTCAAAATACAATTTCAATCTAGGTCGGCGATTAGTGTTTTCTCCTATTTTTTTTTTAAATCAAAGTGAAAGAATACCTTAAATAAAGCCGTTGAACTTTATTATTATTTTCTAAAAAATGCGTATACTGCTTGTATTAATTGCTTTAGTCTCAATTAGTTTGGTGTGTGGTGATGAAAGAGTTGAAAATGAAACCGAAGGCAAAATATCGGAAGAGACTGAAGAAAGTTCAGTGAAAACAAAACGTGGAATACATGGATATGCAAGTGATCTTGGTTACCCTCTATATAGTCGTGCTTTCACAAGATATACTCCATATGCCAGATTTCCCACAGTTTATAAAACCCCAGTTGCAACTTATGCACTTACACCCGGAAATGCAATCGTTCATTCATTTAATGTCAACTATCCCAAAGTATTACTGCCAAAACCTGTGATCAGACCAGCTGTAGTGTCACCCGTTCTATATCATCCAAAACCTATTCTACCTTCCGTACCGATTTATGCAAATCGTTATCCCGTTTTTGTGAACAAGCCAGTTATTGTCCAGAAACCAATTATTCCAACTGTACCACAATATTCAACTTCCGCGTTCATTCCGGCGATTCCGCCACATATTCACACAGTGAATCCGTTAGCAGTACCAAGTGTTTTGCCTCAGCCGACATTAGTTTCTCAAGATGGATGGAGACCAATTTTTTCTGCTTTACCAAATGATCAACATACTCACATTAATCCACCGGCAGTCACAGTCCTGCCTCCTTCAAACCCGTTGCCGACAACCAGTCAAACGCAAACACCAAACAACTATTATTTACCACCAGGTCCATCCATTCAACACGATAGTCCCGGTTTTAGTCAATCTACAGGTGATTGTTTTTGAAGCTAGTATTAAAGGTGTCAACGGACAAGCACCTTATCCATCCGTCCGTCCGTTCAGGGCTCTTGAATTTTTTTGTCCGTCCGTCCGTCCGTTCAGAGCCGCTAAAAATTTTCTCCTGAAAAGGGTCCTGAACGGACGGACGGACAAGAAAATTTTTGGGGGCTCTGAACGGACGGACGGACGGACAAGACAATTTCTGAGGGTCCTGAATGGACGGACGGACGGACAACTAAATTTACAGGGTTCTGAACGGACGGACGGGCGGACAACTAAATTCAGAAGGCTCTGAACGGACGGACGGACGGGCAAAAATGGACGGACGGACGGACATGCAAAATTCTCATACAATATTTTTCACGATTTGAAGAAAAAAAAAAAATTCTTGCTATAAACGTCTTATCTGGCAATACGTAATGTATTTTCGGTTATTGATGTGAGTGAAAATTACAGTAAAAAAATTGTTTTCCAAGTATTCAATAGCAATAAATTTGAACTATATTCGATATTTTCGTTCGAATCGTTCGATTTTCTCCCGTGTTTGAAATTTAAAAACAATTGCTGATACCGATGGTATTTTTGTTATGTATCTTATTGTTCGATTTCTTTATGAAATTCGTGTAAATTTCAATTTGTTCTTATTTGAAAACCATTCAATTGGATAAAATCGTGATCAATTGAATAATCGATGGGAATTTTCGTGTAAATAAAAAAAATTCGATGGAAATTTTTTCGATAATTTTTTTTTGTTAATTTTTTGAAAAAAAAAAAATTTCCTTCAAATCGTGAAAAATATTGTATGAGAATTTTGCATGTCCGTCCGTCCGTCCATTTTTGCCCGTCCGTCCGTCCGTTCAAAGCGTTGTCCGCCCGTCCGTCCGTTCAGAACCCTGTAAATTTAGTTGTCCGTCCGTCCGTTCAGGACTCTTAGAAATTTTCTCGTCCGTCCGTCTGTTCGACCGTAGCTGAACGGACAGACGGACGGACAAGAAATTTTTTAGCAGCTCTGAGCGGACGGACGGACGGACAGAAAATTTTTCAAGAGCCCTGGACGGACGGACGGACGGGCTAAAAAGACGGACAGTCCGTCCGTTTGACACCTTTAGCTAGTATTCGCTTTAACAAAAAAAAAAAAATTTTCGTTAACGGTTGGCAATTTTGCAGAACAATACCAGCATCAACAGCCACAGAATGATCTTCAGGCTCATTTACAACATTTGCAGCAAATTCAAGAAATCCAACAACATCAAAATTTCTTGCGTAGCGAACAAAACGAAGGTTTCGTAACATCACTATCTGAACAAGGTCTGTAAGCGTTGGCGAAGAGACGATGCTTGATAAAAATTAGAATAATAATATTATTCAATATTTATAATTTTGATCGTATTCTTATTTCTATTAAAGGTTATGAAACAGCTTCAAACAATGGACTGTATTCTGGTCCATCTTCATACGATGTCCATTTAAATAGTCGCGGTCGTGTAAACTAATTCGAGGATAAATCTATGATTGTGCTACTTTTTTCGTTATAAAGAAAACTTACAGCCCAATAGTTTCAATGTTATGAATAAGAAGAATAAATTATTGATTATTTTCTAATAAACGATTTTGACGAAAAATGCTGCTTTATGGAAAATATTTCATGTAAACTACCCGAGTGAACACGAAAGGCTTTGATGAAAGCCTACATTCGTTCGATGAGGCTTTCATATTTTTTATGTACATTTTAAATACTGAACGCCTAGGCTTTCATTGCTATTCTCACTTCTTTCGTGCATTCGTAGCAATGAACGCCTAGGTGTTCAGTATTTAAATTGTAGGGTAGAGGTTTGTTTGCCGGCATGTTAGTTGGACCACCCTTTATATTTTATATTTTGATCTCTTGCACAATCACTTAATCATGATTAATTGCGATTAAGTGATTAAGTGGCATCTTAATCATTTTAAAAATCATTTTGCAAGTGATTGAGTAATCGCAAAACGCCCACCTGTATCCATTTCATCCACTATGTCATTGATGAATAACAAAAATAGTGTGGGTCCGAGATGACTTCCCTGTGGTACGCCAGATGATACGTTGAATTCGTTCGACTCGCTGCTCTCGTACTTAACGAATTGAGTTCGGTTTGACAGGTATGATTCGATCCAAGCAAGAAGATTTTCTGGCAGGTTGAACGATCTGAGTTTCAGAATCAATCTCTTTTGGTTAACTCTGTCAAACGCTTTACTGAAGTCCGTGTACAGAACGTCCACTTGCGCACCTGAATTTATGCCTCTCTGGGTATAGTAGGTGAATTCGGTGAGATTAGATGCAGTGGATCTGGACTTCATAAAGCCATGTTGCTTTTTGGTGATTTTGTCCTGTACCAGAGACAGAAGTTTGACGTTCACCAAATGCTCAAAGTAGATATCATTATTATCACGGAGGACGGTAGTCCGACCAGTGACGCTCCATATACTGTGCATTTTTAGCCACAATGTCAAAAAATGCCAATTTTTGCCTCACTGGTATATATACAGCTAATATGCTATTTTCGCAGGGCGGTACTTGGGCCCCGGAGTGCCAGGGACCGTTTGAAAGGCCTTGGCCCAAATAGCCGAAAACGCCATACCACACTGGCCAAAAAGCCTGTCTGCTCAAAAATACCTTGCTCCGTAAATTAGCCCCTCACAGGGGGTGTCGGAGGGGGATGTGGGGGTGTCCAAAAAATGTTGCACGTCCCCACCTATCCAACGCCGGTCCAAACTCCCCGATCGGTTTACAAACAAAAAAGTTATGGGCATATTTAGTAAGTACTTGGTTTTCCAGGAGTGAAGCATTTCGTGCGTCTATTGCCCGTTGTAAGTGGTTCGGATTTAATTAAATCCAAAGATTTAATTTTCAACTTTGCGAAAACGGCCAAAAAATGAAAGCTGATTGGGTAGGACGTAAAATTTGGGCGAAAACAAGAAAAACTGGCCTTTTGAGTACACCCGATAAGCCTTATGGGGCCTTGAAATCATGATTTTCCCGAATTTCGTTAAATCTTAAAGATTTAACTTTCAAGTGCGGGATTTAAGCATTTTTCACGCAAAATCATGTTGCAATAAGTCAAGAATTGTTGGAAATGACCGAAAAATTCTAAATCAGCAAAAAACCCAACCACTTTGTACGTTTTTTGAGTCCAAATATGCAAAAATATCATTTTTCGTATATTCTCAACGTTTAATTTTCAAAT